CGGCAACCCACGGAAGTAGAATGCCCCATCCTCCAAGGGGTCAACGTCAACAAGGGCAACCCGGAAGAACTCTTGTTTATAATTTTTGTATGACTGGGAGTAAAGAGTGAATAAACCCCCATCCCTGCTCCCACTCAGAGAAAGAACGCCATAAGGCGGAACACCTATCTTCAGTTGGTAGAAATGAAGGAAGACAGGAAGAGACACCTCTATTCCTAAGGTCGAACATAGGACTTGAAAAACCCTCAAAAAACCCCAACTGTTGGGGTGCAACTGGCAAGGAGCCGAGTTGACAAAATTCAAAAAATCACACTCAAATTGTGTGAAGGGAAGACAGACACCTAAATCCCTGAAAAAGCATTGGTAAACATAGAAGTGGGGAGGGTCAATAGATTTCCCCATGTACACGCCCTCATCGGCCCGACAAGGTTCGAGCTGGATCATCTGGGAAATAAAAGGGTCGCAAATTTTATGCATTCTCCGAACTGCATTGACCTCAAGGAAAGACCTAAACACACTTTGGGTCCCCCCATCTCGCGCTTGACCCAGTCATAGCCAGGAGTGCCCGGGACAAGGTCCTTGGGCGGATCCCTCTTTTCAGCAACGGCCGCCCCAGCAGCTGCCGCCTTGCCGCGCGCCTTGCCCTTGGCAGGCGCGGAGGATCCAGCACCACTCCCTCCAGCCATAGAGAAAACAAGAAAGACTCCAAGGGGAAAAGGTAGAGAAGAAAGAGAGAACAGAGGAAATTGAAGTACCTGGTACCCCTTTCAACAAAAGAAAGAGCGATAAGGAGGAAGCAAAACCCAATTGCTGAGAACGGCGACGGAAGCAGAAAGGCGAAGATAAAAAACGATCAGAAGCAAGAAAGAAGGCGTATGCGAGAAGGTGAAAGAGCGAAAATGAGTAAAGTGAAAGGAAAAGAGGCGCGAATGAGAGAAAAAGGGTTTTTCCAAAATCAAAACGACCACAACACGTGTCAACCAGGAAGACACGACTAGCGACACATTTAATGACCCCCATTATGACGAACACCAGTCATAATTACATAACCGTCACCCTCTCTCGCGCGCCGCCTACACGCTTTTAAGAAGTGACAATCACGACACATGGCACCTCGACAGGCCAGCGCACGCGAAAGGTCACTTCCCCCCAGCGAGCTCGGTCTTAACTCCGAAGACCGAAGGTCTTCGGAGCTCGGGGGGCTAGGGTACTATCCATACTGTGAAGCCGGGTTCCAACCTCGGTACCACAGCACGAGCTGACCTCGGGCACGTGTTGCGCGACATCAGCTCGGCACTTAAGTAGATCATAACTGATCTCAGGCCCAAGGCCCAACGCAACCCTAATTTACACTAAGGTACGTGCATTACTTATAGGAGATTCATACTCATACAAACCCTAACTTTAGCATCAGAGTCTCTTTTGCAGGTACCACCCCCGTCTTGGAGTACCAACGCACCAGTGAAGGAGGCTCACCGATCTTACCTGGCGGATCATCTCTACAGCAGATCTCTGGTAAGAACAAAGATGATGCTTCGAGAGAGGGTTCTTCGAGGGGAAAGGGCTCACCTAGGTCAACAAACAAAGACAACAAAATGATGCTTATGATTAGAGAACAATGAGGATTCCGGCCGGGTTGCGCAAACTTTCTTTGTTGAACAAGATGATGCTTCAATAAAGAGTTCTTCGCGAAGAAAGAGCTCTCGTGTGGATCAGCAAATGCTTCTCAATACTACAATGGTTACTAGGTGAACTGATGTAGATCTATTTATAATTATTCACAAAATTACCACCGCGCATTCAATACGACATCGGTCTCACTAAAAACGATGTAGAACACTCAATATTTACATCGATCTCAACCATAACAGATATAACTATGCTTTATATTATACACTTATTTACAAAAATGCCACTGCATTTGATTTCTACATCATTTTTACCTAAATCGATGTAGAATTGACGATGTTAAACAATAACTTTCTAGTAGTGGCTTAACTAATGCTAGAGATTTTGCTATTAGTATTTTGTACTTGATGATGTATATTTGTATATATACATGGTTTATTTCTAAGCTCGTAAAGGACTTTATGTTTTCTAGTGAAAATTGACAAAAATTGTTTTGTTTTATGCATCCTATACATATATTTGTTCCATGAATGTCTAGGTATTGTTGTATGATAATCTTAGTGTAGTTGAACTTTTTATATTTTTTACTCCATAGTAAATGTACTACATTTAAACACAATTTAAGTATTATTTTTTAATTAAATTCAATAACATATATTATGTTTCGTTGTAGCCTATACTCATATTTTTAAACAATCATGAAATATGATTATAAGTAAAAATAATTCTTAGCGATAAATGCTTTGTCATTGTAAGTTGTGTCATTACAAGACAAGTTTCTGTAGTCCATCTTTTTTTGTAGTCCATACTCTATTTAATAACTCATTTTCTACATCAAATTTCAATGATCAAACCGTTGAATTTAAAAATTTTAATGCATAGATTAAGTCTTCAAATTTTTTAAAAATTTAAAAATCATTTGATACTTCATTTCATTAATTCAAATCAATGTATAAAATAATTTTATGATTATCTGTCAATTTGAATTAATGAAATGAAGTATCAATTTTTTTAAAAATTTGCAGACTTGATCTATGCATTAAGAACTTTAAATACAACGGTTGAATCATTGAAATTTGATGTAAAACATGAGTTATTGAATAGAGCAAGTATAGGTACACTTACTCCTAGAATAAATGGATCCTCCTATAAATATATAATTGATATATTATTTTAACCATTAATTAAAACTTGAAGATAAATTTACATTGATAAATATATTAGTACTTTTAAATAATAACAAAAAAATAGTGATTTATCCAAATATGATTTTTGACTTCTACGTTTTATAATTCCTTCATTGGGTTAGAAAAATAAACAATCACTTCATTTAGAAAGTGAAACAAGTGCATGGACTTTGAAATTATTAGTCTTTGTAGAAAGTGAAACAAGTGCATAGACTTTGAAATTGTCGGTCTTTGTAAAAAGTGAATCAAGTTCATAGACTTTGAAATTGTTAGTCTTTGTATAAATATAAAAGAAAAATTAAAGTTAAGCTTGCCTTTCATGTTGCTTTAGTGAAATAACAATATATCATATTTATTCATTTTTATTTTTTGGAGACTTTTCTCTTTCAATATACTATCTTCTTTTTGTTATGCAACTGTTAGAAAGATTAAAAAAATACTCTAATAATGTGCAAGTTGCTTGTGTGTCTGGAAGAGTGAAAAGAAATTTGTATTTATAGTTTCAAAGTGAAAAGAAAATGAAAAAAAAAAATTTGTGAATTTTAAGAATTAGAAGGAATTAATTTATTTAAATTTTTTCTAACAAAATTTGTAGAATTTTCAGAGAATTCTACCTTTAGTTATATAAAGAGAGCAAATCTATGCACCCAAAAATCATATTTGAATTATCTTTTTTTACAAGTTCTTAACTTGTTGCGTTACTAGTCCGAAAACTTTAAGTTAAATCATCAAACAACTAATTGTCTTACTTAATTTTCACATGAGAATATTAAATTAAATATATATTTTCTGCACAAAATCTTCATCAATTTTTTTTTTTTTGCCAAGGAGAGGAGAAATCATCGATCAATATTCATAACGATTATTATGACTTCCGAATTATTGATATATCCGTTTTCTAATTTAAACATTAATTATATAACAGATAAATAGTTTGATACATACTTTTATTTACTATATACATATTAATATATTTCATTCATCAGTTGCATCCAATTTTATAATTTTAAAAAATCCATGTTCTAATGTGATATACAATAACAAAAAAATGTAACGTCTATTTATCGTAAATAGACGCAATTTTCTAATTTATCATTTGAATAGGTAAGGAAATTAAGCAATCACATCAAATTCAAAAATTAAAACAAGTGCAAAGACTTGAAATTACTGTAGTATATGCAGAAAATTCATGTAAAGAAAAGTTAATCTTTCATTTCCCTGCGTTGGCAAAATAACACATGCATCTATTTCTTCGATGTAATTCTACATAGACTTTTCTTAGTGTACAAATTGTAACAAAAAAGTCTTTAGTGTAAAACAGCCTGAGTCATTAGAAAAGAACTTGAGTAAGTGTGAAACAGAAGTACTTCAATCTGCAGTTCATGTGCTATTTAGTGACATTACACAAAAGTCTTTGATAATATAAAAATAAAGCATGTTAATTGTTAGAATAGTGGATTAAGCCTAACTCAACCCTACAAAACCGGCTTGTAAGGTGAGGGTTGTTTTCCACTTATATACTATTCAATTGCCTAATCTCTAGTCGATGTGGGACTTGGGTTTTTCCCAATACACCCCCTAACGTCCAGCACTATCAGGCTTGGTACGTGGATAAATGGTAGGTGGGGTTTTTCCCAATACACCCCCTCACACCTATGAGGCATGCATCGTGGCCTATTTTTAAAGTAGATCTAAATAGCTCTGATACCATGTTAGAATAGTGGATTAAGCCTAACTCAACCCTACAAAACCGGCTTGTAAGGTGAGGGTTGCTTTCCACTTATATACTATTCAATTGCCTAATCTCTAGTCGATGTGGGACTTGGGTTTTTCCCAATACACCCCCTCACGTCCAGCACTATTGGGCTTGGTACGTGGATAAATGGTGGGTGGCCCTTTTTAATGATCTAGGATAGGCGGGACTTGAGTTTTTTTCCAATATTAATTATATATACTTTTTGTTAAAATTACAAATTATCTCTTTCAACATCATTTTTGTGTATCTCCTGAAATTTTAGTAGTAGCAAGTTGCAAGTACAAGAAGTAGAATCCAATTAATGAACCTATGATCAGTATACGAAATAAGAGATAAAACTTCCTATTGCTTTGTCATTTAGCTAGACTATCTGCAGCTATATATATCTTGTATTGGCTCAATGTTTCATACCTCAATTAAGAGATAAAACTGATTCCATTTATTTCATATGAGCAAAAAAATAATGAGTAGTTGTTTTATGAAACTATTTTATGCACTTGTGCTGCTTTTATCGAATGCTGCAGGACCTGTTCTTAGTGCAGAAATAAAGTGCATAGAGAGTGAGAGACAAGCACTCCTCAACTTCAAACAAAGTCTCTTACATGATTATGGCATGTTGTCTACATGGAGGGACGGTGATAACAATACAGATTGTTGTAAATGGAGAGGCATACAATGCCACGATGAAACTGGTCACATACAGTTACTCGATCTTCATGGTGATCGGTATGCAGATGCACAATATTTGGAAGGTTCAATCAATCTCACTTCGTTGATTGACTTGCATAATATTCAACATCTAGATCTCAGCAATAATTTTTTTCTAGGGAGTCATATCCCAGAAGAACTCATTGGCTCCTTCACCAACTTAACATATCTCAATCTCTCATACTCTAGGTTTGAGGGGAGCATTCCATGCGAACTTGGAAAGCTTACACATTTACAGTATCTGGATCTACGCAACAATTATCTCTATGGGGAACTCCCTTTTCAACTTGGAAACCTAACACATTTACAGTATCTGGATCTAAGCAGTAATGATCTCAATGGAGAAATCCCTTATCAAGTTGGAAATATCTCACAGTTGAGGTATCTTGATCTTTCAGGAAATTCATTTTCTGGAGCACTCCCTTTCCAGGTTGGGAATCTTCCTTTCTTACACACTCTTGGACTTGCTGAAAATTTTGATGTCAAATCTAAGGATGCTGAATGGTTCTCTAATCTCTATTCCCTAACAATTCTTCGCTTGGATTCTTTTCGTAATCTTGGCTCCTCTCATCATTGGTTACAAATAATCAACAAGCTTTTTCGAAACTTAAGAGAGTTGAGGTTGGTTGATTGTTCTCTTTCAGATACTGATCTTCAATCTCTGTTTTATTCAGGTTCCAACTTTTCCTCTTCTCTTGCTATCCTTGATCTTTCTTATAATATGCTGACATCCTCATCATTTCAACTGTTGTTAAACATTAGCCTTAATCTTCAGGAGCTTTATCTTTCTCATAATAACATTGTTTTCTCATCTTCTTTCTTTCCAAGCTTTCCTTCTCTTGTGATCCTTGACCTTTCTTATAATAATATGACATCATCAGTCTTTCAAGGTGGTTTCTACTTCGGCTCAAAACTTCAAAATCTTTATTTGCTAAATTGTAGTCTTATGGATAGAAGTTTCCTTATGTCATCAGCTTCCATTATGAATTATTCATCTTCCCTTGTCTCCCTTTATCTATCCTCCAATTTGTTGAAATCATCAACGATATTTTATTGGCTCTTTAACTCAACCTCCAATCTTCGTTCCCTTTACCTTTATTATAACATGTTAGAAGGTCCCATCCCTGATGGATTTGGGAAAATGATGAACTCTCTTGAAGTTCTTGACCTCCATGATAACAAATTGCAAGGCAAGATTCCATCTTTCTTTGGGAACATGAGCAGATTGCAGATATTAGACCTCTCTAATAACAAGTTGAATGGCGAAATTTCTAGCTTCATTGAAAATTCTTCATGGTGCAACCAACACATATTTCAAAGTTTGTATTTATCTTTTAACCAAATTACTGGCATGCTGCCTAAAAGCATCGGATTGCTATCTGAATTGGAGTATCTTGATTTGGGGGGAAATTATTTAGAGGGCGAAGTCAATGAATCTCATCTTTCTAATTTTTCCAAATTAGAATACTTATACTTATCAGGGAACTCATTGTCTCTGAAATTTGTTCCTAGTTGGGTTCCCCCTTTCCAATTAAAATACTTGGGACTAAGATCTTGCAAGTCGGGTCCAAGTTTTCCAAGTTGGCTCCAGACTCAACGCTCCTTAACATTTCTGGATATTTCTGATAACACGATTAATGATTCGGTACCAAAATGGTTTTGGGGAAAATTGCAAAGCATGGAAACATTGAATATATCACATAACAATCTCACAGGTGAAATTCCAAATTTATCACTGAAGCTTCTTAATAGACCTTCAATATTTCTGGATTCAAATCAAATTGGGGGCAAAGTTCCATCGTTTATGTTACAAGCTTCAGAGCTGCTGCTTTCTAAAAATAAATTTTCAGATTTCTTTTCATTCTTATGTTACCAAAGCACAACTTCAAACTTAATGACTTTGGATTTATCAAGCAATCTAATAACGGGAGAACTCCCAAATTGTTGGAAATCAGTAGAGTCATTACTGATTCTCGATTTAAGCAACAATAAATTGTCAGGGAAGATTCCTATGTCCATGGGCACCCTTGTTAAATTGAAAGCTTTGGTTTTAGCAAATAATAACTTAACGGGTGAATTGCCTTGTACTTTGAAGAATTGTAGCAATTTAATAATGCTGGATGTGGGTGAAAATATGTTATCTGGTCCAATACCACCATGGATAGGAGAAAGTATGCTGCAATTGATAATCTTGAACATGGGAGGAAATCACTTCTCTGGAAATCTTCCTATTCATCTTTGTTATTTGAAACATATTCAATTGTTGGATCTTTCAAGGAATTACATGTCGGGAGGAATTCCAACATGCTTAAAGAATTTTACCGCAATGGCTGAAAATAGCATCAACAGAAGTGACACTATGCAACGTGTACATTGGATCAATAGTAGTTACTATGAAGTTTATGGTCGTGTGAGTTTGGATGATTATACGTTTGAGATAACATGGATGTGGAAAGGTGTTGAACAGGGGTTCAGAAATCCTGAATTGAATCTTAAGAGCATTGATCTGTCATGCAATAATTTAACAGGTGAAATACCAAAAGAGATAGGATATTTGCTTGGATTAGTTTCTTTGAACTTAGCAAGAAACAATTTGAGTGGAGAAATACCTTCAGAGATTGGGAATTTAAGTTCACTAGATTACCTTGACTTGTCAAGAAATCACTTCAGTGGGAGAATTCCTTCTTCTCTTTCCGAAATTGATGGTCTAGGCAAACTAGACTTGTCCCACAACTCTCTTTCTGGAAGAATCCCAACCGGGAGACATTTTGAAACCTATGATGCCTCTAGTTTTCCAGGAAATGTTGATCTTTGTGGTGAACAAATTAACAAAACTTGTCCTGGAGATGGAGATCGGACAACAACAGTGAAGCCTAAAGAAGCAGCAGTGAAAGGTGAAGATTCAGATTTCTATGAGGCATTATACATGAGCATGGGAGTAGGGTACTTCACTGGATTTTGGGGCTTAATTGGGCCAATACTTCTTTGGCGTCCTTGGAGAAATGCTTATCTCATGTTCTTGAATAGATTTACTAATTACATATATGTGTGGTTATGGACCTTATGAATGTCGCAAAGTGCTGCTGCTAGCTCGATGGCTGGTATGTTATAGCTTCTATTTTTTATATTTTTTTTCTTTCAAATTCTTGGTTTTCTTCTGCTGCAATTACATAAATCAAGAATTGTTTGGCATACATTAAAAAAATATGCTGCACTCGTGACCTCTTAACTCTGATATTTATTGGCTTAGCAGGAAGGTAGCTTAGAGAGGACATCAGAAATAAAATAATATTCGTTCTTTTGTAATGTTAAATTTTGTTTAATAATTCATTGAAGCAATATTTTACTGCAGATGTGCTGCACTGTTCTGGGGTGAAAGCTTTGCTGGCTGCTACAAGTGCAAGATATTTATTTAGTATTAGAGTTTAAGTAAAGAATTGTGAAATCTAATTTCCTGAAACTTACTATGATTTGATTGTATTGTATTGTGTAATATATGTGCTTAGACATGTAATTTCTAAAATTTGATCCTTTATATTACATCTTCAAAAATAACTAGTTTTTACATTTAAGAACTTTAAACCAAATTCTTTCAATTAAAGAATCAAGCTACCCCATTTATTACTAGTCTTTCAGTAGTTTTGCATATGCTCTGTGTTAGAAACTTGTTCATACACTCCTGCTTCATCAAAATTCCACAATAACATTAAAATTTGTATTTATTAGTGAATTATGTCACTATATTGTATTTTCATTCATGTTCACACTCATCTCAGCCATTATGGTAAAGTTCTGTAAACATTTTTGGAATTTACTCTCCTAAGCGACTTTCTGAGAAATCCAAAACTCTGATCTGAATAAGATAACAAAGTTGTAATGGTAAAATTCTAACGACTTATACGAAAGATTGCCAACAGAATAAAGGCTTTCAACATCCCACGGAGGAATTTAGCTAGCCAAATAACATTTTTCCCCACATTTAACAATATTAAAATTTTCAAGTTCTTCATGGAAGAAAGTAATTATGCAATTAGACTATTTAAAGGTGCCTGCAAATCCAACTTTGATATTAATTAGGGTAATGGAAAAAGGAAAAACTAAAATATAATGAAATGAATATTACCAAACATATGTTTCTGATTTGCAATTAACTACATTCTTTTGTGGCAGCTACTGTTTCACTTTCCCAATCGATCCTGTTATTTGGCTTGTTTCCTGCTTGTTGCTAAAATTTTTTTATATCTTTTTTTGCAATTAAATTTGTTTTTAAGTATTAAAATTTAATTCAAAAATAATTATAATAAAAAAAAGCAAATTAAATATGAAGTTAAAAGAATTGTTAAGAAAATTTATTAAAAAAACTTTCTAAAAACGTTATTATATTTAAAAGTTATATCATTTTAATATTAATTGCAGAACTAAAGAAATTTTAATTAAGTGTCTAATTTTTAGTTGTTTCATCTTAATTGTTATACTTAATCATTTATTTTTATTTTAATGTTTTTTACACCAATTATTATTTTAATTTAAAATATTTATTAATATTATCATTTTAAGTCAATTTTTTTCCAATATTCAATTAATGTAATTTATGAATTTTTAGCTCAAGAACTTATGTTCTTAGTTGCTGTTACTAATCATCAATAGTACAACACCATACACATTCATGAACTAAAATATGATGTATTTCCCTTGTAAAAGACATTTATATCTCGTCATTGGAAGATGACCCGGGATCTAATAAGAGTATATGTCCATGTTTATTTTAAACATGTTGAAAATTAAATTATAAAAGTTTTGAAATTTTAACATTTGTGAAAATTAAATTTTGAAAATGATACAAATTTCAACATGCATTTCTCAAATTTTATCATTTCAAAAATTTATTTTTCGAAAGTATTAAAATTTTATATCTCTAAAACCTATACTCTTTAGTCACAACTAGCTCAACCATGAATAAAAAAAAAAAATGAATAAAAAAACAACTCCTACTTCAAAGTTTATATATGTGTCCATCATTCACACCTTTTGCAAAGCACTTCCCACTTGACTTCACTCTCGTCAACACACTTCTCTATTGATGTCTTTGCCATCATCTCCGACGACACTATGGTATTTTTCCACCTCGAAAACAAGTGTTCTGAAAATTAACAGATATTTCTAAAACACTCATAAAAATATAAAAAGAAAAATCAAAATTAAAATTAAAATCAAAATAAATTTTTCTGAGTTAATACTGGCTATCAATAAATTAAACATAATTTATGAAAAAAATTATTTTATTTTTTCTTTCTATTTTTTCTTCTAAAAGTGTTTTTAGAGAAGTTTAATCAAACACTTAACTCAAAATAATTACGAGATTATTTCTAATCCTCTTTGTATTTTTTTGTAGTTATAATTTAAGGGTGTGGGTTATATAGAGTGGTGCTACATGTGGAGAGACATGAATTAAAAGTGAGTGTTATTTCCTTTACTTTTTAAAAAACTAATTTTTTTAAAAAAAGTTGAAATGAAATATATTCTTAGATGTAAGATTATTATGTCTCATGTCAGAGACATAAAGAGACTAATGAATAAATAATTAAATAATTAAGGACTAAATTGTAAATAGACTTAATGGAACAGTTTCTGGGAATAATTATTATTTGATAGAAATAACAATTTTAAGAAGTTATAAATTTTCACTAATGTGAAACAAAGTCTCCTCCTTAGCAAAAAGTATTCTTTCAAATCTTAGTCATCGGAGAAGATAAAGAGAATATAGTGAAGAGTCAAAATGAGTGAAATCTTGGTTTTCCTTTTCTCTCAAAAACATCAAAGTTTTTTTTATAGTTTTTTTGGATGGAGAATTTAAATGGAGTTATTCATTTTTTGAAGAATTTCAAATTCTTTGAAGTGAAATATTTTGTTTGGATGGAGAATTTACAATGAATTTGAAATCCAAGCATTTGTGAAGTTTCTTGAAATAGTAGACTTTCAAATTCTCAAAAAAGTAATAATTTAAAATTTCTCATATATATATATATATATATATATATATATATATATATCTTATTTCTCTTATATATTTTATCTTATCTCATATCGCTTAGTGTTTTTAATTATTGAATATTTAAAAATATTTTTAAAATTAGTAAATATTATCTAATAATTTTTAAAGTCATTAAATATTTAAAAATTGATTAATATTTATTTTTATAAAATGTAATTTAAAAATCTCATATAAAAATATTTTGAAAATTAATTTTACCATGGTGAAATCAAATTATCATATCCAAACTAAAAATTTAAAATTTAAGAAATTTGAGTTGACTTATCAAAACAAAATATTTTAATAATGACAGAAATTAAAATCAAAGTAATTCAAATATCAAGAATTTTAAATTCCTTGAATTTATAAAATTTCTCATCCAAACACACCAAGTTTCAAGGGAATTTCTTTGTTATGCACAGTAACACATTGTTTCTTTGTTACGTAAGAATTATGAATTTCAAATATCCTTTTAGTTCTC